GAAGCACTGGAATTGGTTACCTAGGGAGGTGGTGGAGGTTTTTAAGTCTCAGCTTGACAAAGCCGTGGCTGGTTTGAGTTAGTTGGGATTGGTCCTGTTTTGGACAGGGGCTGGACTTGATGACCTGTTGATGTCTCTTCCAGCTCTGTGGTTCTATGACCCAGGACGTTGACAGCAAAGACGATCCGGAGAGGCCCAGGATGAGTGGGAGATTTGAGGGCGATGAATTAGCCCTCTTGTGAGGTGTCAACTGCTCTGCCAGTTCAGAAAACATCCCCCAGTGGTTGAAGGGACTTTTTCTTTAGGAGGTTCTCAAGTCTCATTTCTCTTTTTTTTTTCTGGCTCTGGCCATCATGTTCTGGCAGTGTGGGCAGTTCTGCACCACATGGCCTTTGCCTAGACATTTTATGGAGGACATGTGGTCATCTGATGCAAGCATTGAGTCCCTGCAAGAGTCACATTTTTTAAAATCAGGAGAGCCTGGCATTTTGACTAGGAGAAGATTTCAAAAAACCCGGAGAAATAGTAAGCAGAGAAAAACCAGGCAAGTGTGGTTTTTTTTTTAAACTATGAACTAATGAACACTAACTTAAACTAATTAAAACTGGTAACAAATTATAAACTAACTACATTATTTTTATCTTTTCAGTCAGAAAGAAAGCACTACTGTAACTCCATCTTCTGCCAAGGACGGTAGGAGTACCTGTATACATCAGGGCTAAAGCTGAATTAAGCTATGAAACTTTAGCTATGTCAAGAGCATAGCTTAAGTCTAAATAGCTTAATTTGGCTTTTGGCACTGTCTACACAGCAGGAAGTCGAAGAAAGAACACTCCTCCTTCGACTTCTCTTACTCTCCATAAGAAGTCCTCCAGCTCAATATTATTTCAAAATAAAGGCTTGTAGTGTAGATGTGCACTATATTATTTCAGAATAAAACCAGTTGTTCCGAAATAATGCTGCTGTGTAGACATACCCTAGAAAAGGAACTAAGGGACACTTGCTCCATGCACACAGCCAACAGAACAGCGCAAGACAGCTACTGTGCATGAGCAGCGCGGGAAGGCACTGTTAGGCAAAAATCTCTGATGGTGCGAGGATGCACCAAGACCTGAGTGGAGCACCCACAGGGACACCATTTGAAGGAGAATCATTATCTACAAACAAAATCCTAACACAGCAAACAAATCTGATGCTTTTTTTAGATGAAGGGTGCTATGACTTAATAGACTTAAATTTTATGAGGCATCTGTCTTGGTGCCATACAAAAAATCACGATATAATAGCAGAATAGTGTAAATTAAGTGGTTTGATAACACAAAGTAACTATTGTATTATTAGGGAATTATCCTATGGGGTGTTTCTAGTGAGGTTCTACCAGAAACTGTTCTTGGCTCAATGCTATTCAAATATTTAGCAATAATCTGGAAGAAATCATTGCTAATGAAATTTGCAGCACACACAAAAATGATGGGAAGTTAAATAATGATGAGGACAGACCAGTTACACAGATTGATCTGGATTATTTAGTCATGAACACTTTTGTTTGAACAAAATGCACTTTAGTGTAACGAAATGCCAGTCATGTATCTTGCAATAAAGAATTTGTTTTGCACTTACAAGATGGTAGACAATTTTGACATGGAGTGATGCTGAAAAGAACTTAGGGGTAAATGGTAGGTGGCCACCTGAACATAAGCTTCCAGGGCAATGCTGTAGGTAAGAGGGCAAACACAGTCACTGGTTGCATAAGAGGAGGAAGTTTGAGTAGGAGAGGGAGGTGGCAATACCTCTGTATACAGCATTAATGAGACCATTAATTAAATATTGCATCCAGTTCTGAATTCTCCATTTTAAAAATATTGAAAAACTGGAAATGGTTCAACAATTTATTCAAGGTCTTGAAAACATGCTTCATAGTGAGACACTCATGAACCTCATTTTATTTAGTTTATCCAAGAGAAGATTAAGAGGTAGTTTGATTTTGGTCTAACATGGCCAGGGAACCACTTTTGGCCAGGGCCACTGACCCACAGAAAAATCAGTTGGGGGCCACACACAAGCAACCCTCCCCCCCCAAAACAAAACCTTCACTACTCATATGCCCCTTCCTCACACTGAACTCAGTGCACACCACTCTCCAGTTCCTGCAGGTGACCAATCCAGCACTAATGCTCCAGCCCTGAGGGGGTGAGAGGAGGGTACCAAGGCTCCATGTTTCTTCTGTAGATAAGCAAGCCAGCACTAACATTCTAGCCCCACAGGGAGGGAGATGCTGAGTCTCTGGGATTCCTCTTGCAGCTAGCATCCTAGCTCTGTAGGGGGAGGCACCAAATCTTTGGGCTTCCATCTACAGCTCAGGAAGCTGGCACTTATGTGCCAGCCCCACAGGGGAAGGGGACACTAAGGCCTGGGGCTCCCCTTCACTGCAGAACAAGCCAGTGCATGTGGTCCAGTTCCATGAGGGGAAGAGGACACAGGTTCAGGGCTTCTGGCCAGTAGGATGGAAACTTGCTGTGGCCAGATCCAATTAAGCCAGGAACTGGATCTGGTGTAGGTTCCCTACTCCTTGCCCACAAGTATCTACATGTGGAAGAAATTTTTTATATCAGATGGCTCTGTAATGTAGCAGAAAAAAGCATAACAAAATACAGTGGTTGGAAGCTTGACCTAGACAATTTCAGACTAATTATAAGGCACAATATTTTTTTAGCAGCAAGGGTAATTGACCATTGGAACAACACATTTCAGAACATGGTGGATTCTCTGTCACTTGCAGTCTTTAAATCAAGACTAAATGATATGGTATAGCTGAAACAGATGTTATGAATCTGTTTCATAACAATAAAATAATACATTAGGCAAGATTCTTGACTCTGCCATGGCCACTTTGAGATACGTTAGTGGCACAAATTAGCCATAACTGACCTCATGTTTCCCTTATGAATTTGATGCAGAAATTACTGAGTGATGTTCTCTGGCCTGTTATCTAGTCTCTGGCCTCAGACTAGATGACCATAATTCTCCATTCTGGCCATAAATCTATGACTCATGGAAACATCTTAAGTTCCTAAGGAACTCATTTAGAGTACAGATGCAAGTTCTAACTGAGTCTGTATACATTCAAATGTAATATGTTTGGAAAGTGGTTTTACCAAATTTTTTCCTATGCATTTAAAAAAAAGTTAGAGAACAAGAGTTCCTTAAATATGAAATATAAAAAATAAAGAGAAGCAAAGTAAAGGTTCTAAAGAAAAGCCCAGTTAAAAGAATCTAATGAAAGCTGAATTCAGAATTTCCATTGTAGCATACATAATATTGAACAATAACATAATAAATTAGGCAAGATTCTTGACTCTGCCATGGCCACTTTGAGACATTTTAGTGGCACAATTTAGCCATAGCTGACCTCATGTTTCCCCTTATGTTGGTAATTCCAGGGTGGTACAGAACCATGTTTCCTGGATCTCTACATTGGTGGGTGCATGTGTGGAGTGCCACTGCACTTTGGCAACCTATGGAGTTCTCTGGAGTTACAAACTGAGCCTGCTCTAAAATGCACTAAAAGGAACTGAACCAATCACAGGATTGGGGAACAACAAAGGTTCAGAAAAACTAGCTTTGTCCTCTCACACTCATGGTCTTCTGCTGAACAAAGAATCTAGATATCTGTCTTAGAACAATGTGGCAGAATAAAGACAAATGTTTCTAAATAGAAGCAGGTGAGCACAAAACAACAAGCACTAAGTTGTTGTTTCTATATTTCTGTTTGGGGGAGGAGGGTGGAGCATCTTTATAAACAAAGAACACGAGATCAGATCTGTTTTAGTCAGGCTTGCACTAATGAGAACTAAACGGGAAGCATCTCTTACATTATATCACACATAGGTGGAATCCCACTTAAATTTCCATGAAATTCCATTCAGCATATAGTGGAAGAGAAGACAGATGTAGACTGTGCTCTACAGAAGTGTAGTGTTCTCAGGCAAAACTCTGGGTAACTGGGTAATAATTTAATAAAACTGTATGAGTGGACCCAGTTGTACAGGAAGGGCACTTAAAACATTAATACATAAGTAAAAAATGTCAATGTGCCAACTGTACTTCCAGTTATAATGGACCTTTAATTTAGTAACATTGCTTGTTGACAAAAACAATACTCAATTTTGGAGCCTATTTATATTTTTCAACTGAAATATTTTCCTGATGAAAAATAGGGTTTTGTTGGACACAAGTTTTGCATGAAAATATCTTCTAACACTTGTGGCCTTTTAAGGGCAAATTTTGAAATGAAACACATTCTTTCAAATTCAAATTTGTTTAAAATATTTTGAATTTCTTCTCCCCTCTCATTTTATCTTCTTTTCCCCACAAAGTGTAATGAAAGGAATAATGTCCAACTTTTTTTTTCCTCCCTCACTTTTTTCATTGTATCTTTTCAGAACTTTGTTAACATCGGAAAAGTTAGAGTGGCGAAAGGAACATTACTACTCCAACTTTTCCAAAATTGGAGAAGTTTTGAGAAGTTACAGAATAGGGGAGAAAAAGTGGTGGGTGTCTGTGGGACTGCAAATGCCATTCATTCTGTGAAGTCATGGTTGAAAACAGGGGAAAAAAGTATGAAATTCCAACATTTTGGAATTTTTGGGCTATTAGAAAAACTGAATCCAAATGAAATTTTCACTGAGTTTCATTCTGTATTTTTAATGAAAAACTGCATTTTTTTTGTTATAAATTTTTTGGGGGGGGGGGGGGGGGAGAGGAGAGTGTTTTTGGGAGGGGGGGGGAGGAAAGGACTGTTTATGTGCTTTATTTGTTTTCTTTTTTAAAATTTCTCTCTACTCAAATATAAAGGTTCCACCCAATTTTATTCTCAATAAGATTATTTTTAAATCCACAATGAAGTTTAATGAAGGTAGATTAAGCAAGTATCAGCAATAAATTTCTGTATCTTCTATTAAAACAAAAGTACACACACACACACACACACACTTACTTACAGTGGTAAATGAACTATATAGGTAATATATGGCCCAAGAAATAATCACAATGTAGTAAATATTTAGCCAAAAGGACAGGACAGCAGCTGCTAACCCCACTCCTGTAGGAAAACAAAACAAAAGCATTAGAGATTTTTCAATTACTCTTTGCAAAGTTTTTAACAAAATCAGTACCATTATAAACAATCATATTTTGAAAGGAAAACATCACATATCGAACAATTATATCATACTGATTTAGCTATCATGAACCCAGCTGAAATTCTAGAAGTAACATAAGAAGTGGACACTAATTATGAGTGATTCACATTTTGGGTGCGCCAGTTGAGACACCTGATTCCTGAGTTTGTGAAGTGATAAACACTAAGGCTGTGTCTACATTGGCACCCCTTTCCGGAAAAGGGATGCTAATGAGACCAATCGGAATTGCAAATGCCGTGGGGGGGTTAAATATCCCCCGCGGCATTTGCATGAACATGGCTGCCGCTTTTTTCCGGCTCGGGGGTTTTTCTGGGGGGAGGGGACCGGGGAGACGCGTTCCTACTTTCAAAACCCCGAGCCGGAAAAAAGCGGCAGCCATGTGCATGCAAATGCCGCGGGGGATATTTAAATCCCCCACGGCATTTGCAATTCCTACTGGTCTCATTAGCATCCCTTTTCCGGAAAGGGGTGCTAATGTAGACGCAGCCTAAGCTTTTATTCACATCCGCTGTCACTGAGGTGCTCACCACTCTTGAAAATAACAAAAATAACCATCTCTTAGATACCTCGAGTTAGCACCCAGAACAAATGGATACTTTTGAAAACCGAGGCCTAGTTGTATGTTCAGTACTGTATTGAAATACATATGAAAAGATTTCCAACACACAAAGCTATGCACTAACTCCCTTCCTTAAGTAAGTTACCCCATCTCAACCCTGGTCTCTCAGCAAATGTCCATGGACACAGAATAAGCATCCCCCAGCAGCCAGCAAAGGAAGGGTATAGAGTTAAGGGCTACCCACTGAGAATGCTCCACCCTCAGCTTCCTACAGCAACTCCTGGAGGGACTGTTTGCCATTCAAGCTGGTTTCAAAGGTACATAGGATCCAAACAATATAAGACTGTTCACACAATTGTGCCTGGAGAAGATCAGGTGTGAACTCCAGAGCACAGATGTAATGTTATCTGTGAGAAACACCATTATGTAGGCAGTAACCTGCATCATCTGAATTCTCCAAGAAGCTCTCCCAGTACAGCCCTATTTCAGTAATCCACACAAGAGGTGGACAAGGTGAGAGTTTTAAGTATAGCATGATCTGCATCTAATGGGTAAAGTTGCGCACACAGATGGCAACGCAGAAAAACTAAAATGTGTACTGCAGAGCAGAGCTCTACTAACTTTTGTATACTTAGTTTCATTTCAGGTTTCATTACTAACCCAAAGCCCTAGCGCTGGGTGCTACAAAATGATTTGTGATTTCATATGCAACCCAGTTAAAACTCATGGTTTCTCGTTGTTGTCTCAGTAAAAAAAAAAAAAAAAAAAAAAGTTTGGATTACGTTTTGCCCTAAGTTCAAACTTAAAATTGTATTGGGGCCTACAGGCATTGGGGCCTATAGGCATTGCTGTAATACAAAATATTAATATATCATATATAATTAATATAATTATTAATAGGGGCCGAAAACCTATCTGAAGAAGGTTAAAAGGGAGATTGCCCAATGTTTCTATGAACTGAAACTACTATATTTTATACCTCCTCCACATAGTACACTTCAAACACTCTTTACTAAGACCTCCTCATCTACACTGCAGGTTTCTTGCAAAAAAGTTCTTGTGCAACAGTGTGTCCATACTGCCATGTGCTTTTGCGCAAGAGCATCCATGGCAGTGTGGACGCTGTATTGCACAAGAAAGCTCTGATGGCCATTTGCACAAGGGCTCTTGCACAAAAAGGCTTATTCCTCATACAAAGAGGAATAACTCTTGCGCAAAAAGCCCTGTGTTCTTCCTATTTACTGTACTTTTTCCTTGCGCAAGAATGCACTTGTAGTGTGGATGCTCTACAAGTTTTTTCACAAAAATGGATGTTTTTGCACAAAAACTCTGCAATGTAGATTTAGCCTAGGTAAAACTTTCTGAGATTTTTCAGAATGACTCAAGAAATTTGTATGCCCAACTTCTGTTAATTTTAATGAAATCTGAGTGTATAAATCCCTTATGTAACTTTAAATGTTTCAGTCCCACTTCAGAAAATCATGTATTTCTTTTAAAAAATGAGCAAAATAAAAATGAAACTATGTTGTATCTGTTCCATAAGTTCATTGAATCTGGAAGTGTCAGAGAATACATATTTATGCAAATCTCATACTGTACCTTTAAACATTGGTGCAAGCTTCCAGACTCCGAGGCCTCCTATAGATGTGAACTGACCAAGAGAACATTCCAAAAGAAATAGTGGAACTCCAGCAAAAATTAAAGTGAGAAAATATGGAATCAGGAATGCTCCTAAAAGGAACACAGCAAGCAGTCTGTTAGAGTGAAAAAATTTTAAACCCACAATTTTATCATCTTCCTTGCCTATTATAGAGCAGATTTTCTCATCGTATCTTTTTTATTTTGGTTATTAAAAGTAGCTAATATACATTAATGCCTTTCTGAACAACTAGAAGCTCTAAGAGTTAGAAAGTCAAGGAAAGAAGGGACTTCACCTAGCATCATTTAGATTACTTGTCTTTAAAATAGATAAGGTGGCACAAAGGAGAAGGAAAGCTGCTGGATGTGGCCAGGTGAGAATTACCCGATAAAGGGGAAGCTCACAGCTGAGGTAGCCAGCCCTTGCATCATGTCAGCTCTGTTCTGGTAATGAAGCAGCACTGCCAGGCTACGTCTACACTGGCATGATTTTCCAGAAATGCTTTTAACGGAAAAGGTTTTCCATTAAAAGTATTTCTGGAAAAACGCGTCTACATTGGTAGGACGCTTTTCCGGAAAAGCACTTTTTGCGGAAAAGGGTCCGTGGCCAATCTAGATGCGCTTTTCCACAAAAAAGCCCCGATCGTCATTTTCGCGATCGGGGCTTTTTTGCGGAAAACAAATCTTAGTTGTCTACACTGGCCCTTTTCCGGAACTGTTTTCTGGAAAAAGACTTTTGCCCGAACGGGAGCAGCATAGTTTTTCTGGAAAAGCACTGATGATTTTACATTAGATTGTCAGTGCTTTTCCAGAAATTCAAGCGGCCAGTGTAGACACCTGGCAAGTTTTTCCAGAAAAGCAGCTGATTTTCCGGAATAACTTGCCAGTGTAGACACAGCCCCAGAGGGTAATGTGTTTGGTTAATTATAATTGCCAACCCCATGAATGCTCTGATCTCCACAGGCCCACAGCAGTGCAATCCATCCTGAGAATCAAGCTGTAACCAGTTCCTTGATGGCCACCTCCTTGCCACACCAAGCAAACAATTTATTTTCTTGTTTTCATAGACTGGAAAAAAGATTATCCAAAGCTTTCATTTTAATGTTAAAACAAACATTTTGTGGTGAGTTCTAATCTAAATATATACAGCAGCCCACAAACATAAAATAAAATGCGTACCTCCACCATTCTTGCCACAAAGATATGGAAATCGCCATACATTCCCCAAGCCAATAGCATAACCCACACAGGACATAAGAAAGTCAAATCGTCCTTTCCAGGTATCTCGGTCTGGAAGATCGGTTTTCTTCTTCTGTACTTTTACTACTAAGGTCTTAGGCTTGTCATTGGTAATTGAAGCATCACTAAGTTCAGTGGAGATTTGTCCATCTGCAACTTTTGTTCCATTCGTTGCCATGTTTCTGGGTTTAACTGGAGAGGCTCTGGCAGGTGGATGAGAAATTTCAGCACCGGTCCACGTGGACAGCAGCTTTGCGGTTCTAGATATCCAACTAGGAAGTTAAGAGTTTGATAAAATGAAAGAATGCTGGAATGGTTTGTGACCTGATCTGAAATCTCAAAATCCACTTCTCTAATAATCTGTAAGACATAAGATCAAAACAGAATTCAGAGCTGTTCCTACTGTAGTGGTCTCCAACATTTTATGTGGAAGATCATTTTTTGAGTTTAAGGGTAACCCAGGATCTCCTACAATGCTTCCCTGAGGCTCCACCCTCTTCTCCAAAGCTCCCCTTCCTCCTTCACTCTCCCCCACCCTCATTCACTTTCATCTGGCTGGGGCAAGAAGTGCAGGAAGAGGGTGAACATTGCAGGTTCTGAGAGGCAGTTTGGGTGCAGAAGGAGGCTCCAGGCTGGGGAAGAGGGTTGGGATAAAGGAGTGAGGAGTGCAAGCTATAGGAAGTAGTTTGCCAGGCCCATGGACAGGGTGGGAGCAAAGGTGGGAACTGTCCTGGCCCTGGGGCCTGGCAGTTCTGAAAGGCCCAGGGTTCCCAGCTGCTGCCCTTTATATCACTGCCAGAGTGTGGTGCGGCACACTCTCCATGACTAAGGGCTGGGACAGCATGGTTCTGACAGAGCTGAAGGCTGGCTGCCCTTCCTCTGCCCTTTCCACCCCTTCTGGCAATGCAGAGTTGCCCCTCCCTGCCCAGGGGCCTGGCATGACTGTCAGCTCCCCTAGCCTCAGCCTGGATCTCCTTCCTGCACCCAAACTTTCTCCCAGAGCTTGCAGCCCTCCCTCCCTCCTGTATCCCAACACTCTGGGGCTACGTCTACACTGGCATGATCAGTTTTCCGTTATAAGTATTTCCGGAAAAAGCGCGTCTACATTGGCAGGATGCTTTTCTGGAAAAGCTCTTTTTCCGAAAAAGCATCCGTGCCAATGTAGATGCGCTTTTCCGCAAAAAAGCCCCGATCGTCATTTTTGCGATCGGGCCTTTTTTGCGGAAAAGAAATCTGTGCTGTCTACACTGGCCCTTTTCCAGAACAGTTTTCCGGAAAAGGACTTTTGCCCGAACGGGAGCAGCATAGTTTTTCCGGAAAAGCACTGATGATTTTACAGTAGATCGTCAGTGCTTTTCCAGAAATTCAAAGGGCCAGTGTAGACAGCTGGCAAGTTATTCCAGAAAAGCAGCTGATTTTCTGGAATAAGTGGCCAGTGTAGACACAGCCTGGATGTAGGAGGGGGCTCTAGGCTGGAGCAGAGTGTTGGGTGCAGGAGGGATGCAATGTGAGCAAGTTTGAGGGCTGGCACAAGGAGTAGGGGTGCAGGCTGCAGCTAGGAAGCACTTACTACAGGTGGCTCCCAATCTGCAGCACAGCAGGGCTCAGGCAAGCTACTTCTGCTTGGCCCCATGCTGCTCCTGGAAACACTGGCTGGCTGAGTTCAGGTACCCTCTGTATGGTCCTGGAGGGAGTCCCTAATGTGATATACTGCTGCCTGTATTGGCTAGTTCCCAGCCAATGGAAGCTGCTTGGGCAGTGCTGGAGGAGGAGGAGGCAGCATGGAGCTACCTCACCATTCCCAGGGGCTACAGAGACTGCGTGTGTAACCACCACCAGGTGGATTTGAACCTGGGACCTTTGGAGCTTAATATAGGAGCCCTTTGAGGTAAAAGCCAACTAGCTCTTAGTCCATGCTGTAGAAGTCACTTGTTCTTATCTGGTGCTGTGTTCTAGGTGCCACTGCACAGGACAGTGAACCACACTAGGTGTGTGGATTACACTTGCACTCAGTCAGCTGGCTGCTCCTAGGAGCAGTGTGGAGCCAGACAGAGACTGCCTATCTGAGGATCACAATCAACTGGCAGAGGCTCCAGGATCTACCAGTCTATCACATTTGATAGATTGGTGAGCAGTGTTTTACTGTAACCTCCTGTCTGAAGCCTAATCCAAAGCCTGTTCGTATCAATGAGATGACGTTCGTTGACTTAATAGCCTTTGGATTGGCGTCTTTCATTATGAAAGCTACTTTTATCATGTGTTTTATGTAAGGGCTTGATCCTGCCTTATGGGATATTTGGTGTTGAATCAACCAGAGCAGGATCAGAGTGTCAGACCAAGCATAAAACTAAATAGTAAGCTTCAGACCTCATGCTTAAACATGCATTTAACAATTCCAGTAGCACAGCATAACATTCTACAGTAAGGAATAGCATACACTGACTTTTTCTTATGCTCCAAAGAAAGCAGTAGTGCGGTGGCAACAATCAGGAAAATTAAACAAGGGACTCAGGACACATCCCACATAATGAACGTGCTTGACAAAATATCCCTGATCTTTTTTAGACTAGAGTTTAACATCAATCTACAGGTTGGTCAGGGACCAAGTGTTTCTACATCCCAGTGCATAATTCTGCTCCTTAGTATGATTTGTTAATAATGAATGTGCTGCTTTAACTGTTTAATAGATTCTTTAAGTTGTAACAAATTAATTACATTCACAGGTTCTCTTTATTTTCAGGGACCTATCATGACTATCAGTATTATTTTCTATAGATAATTGGTGCATTCTTCTTTTTAAGATGATGCATTTAGAACAGCGTGTTTCATCCAGGAGACTCAAAGGTATTTGCAAATAGGTTACATTGATCCACAAGGCTCAACTCTTAAAGGCTGAAGTAAAGTCATAACCTTATATATTCCTCCCATTAACAACTAGTATATAGAATGCAGATGATTCACTCCACCTTGAAATTTAAGATATCAGGCTACAGTGATCACAGGACCATAGCCCTGTATTTTCTGGTATGTGTTATACCCCTGGGCCTTTTAAACACATTTCCTAATACTGAATCAATCATTCTATACTGCTTTACCATGGTGGCATGTTACTCTTCTGCGGCCATGGTACACAGAAGAGAAAGAGCAGAAAATAGGCATAACTTGTAATCCTGCAAAGTGCTAAGCATCTGCAAATCCTATCGATTTCAATGGCTTATTTTTAATTCAACCAGCATTTTTAAGGATATGAGTTCTTGAACACTGAACAGCCCTATGTTTGCAAGGGGCAAAACTGTATAACAACAAGGAAGCTGAACATGGATTAAGTTAGATAACAGTCAGTAAAAGACTGAGGGAGTGTCTAGACTACATTCCTCTTTCAAAAGAGGAAAGTAAATGAAGGAAATAAAAAATGCAAATGAAGTGCAGATTTACAAATCTCACGCTTCATTTGCATAATCATGTCTGATTGCTTTTTAAAAAAAGTTTTTTTTTTAAAAAAAAAAGCACTCTGGACATGGTTCTTACAAAAAGAAAACCCTTTTTTGAAAGAACCCTGTAAACTTCATTTTTTCAAAAATAAGGGTTCTTTCGAAAAAGGTTTTTTTTTTTTTTCAAAATAACTGCATCTAGACTGCTTTTTTTAAAAAATCCTTTTTTGAAAAAGTGATCTAATGTGATTGCAAATGAAGCGCAGATTTACAAATCTTGTGCTTCATTTGCATATTTTCAATTTCCTTCATTACATTCCTCTTTCAAAAGAGGAATGTAAGTCTAGACACACACTTTAGTGTATTGGCTTTACTCTGCGGTTAATGTACATTGGCATGATCTTGCGCAAATACTTTTAATGCAAGAGTTTTTGCGGTAAAGTATTCGCTTAAGAGAGCGTCTACACTGGCATGTGCTTTTGCACAAGAGGTGTGCTTTTGTGCAAAAGCATCCATTTTAACCAGCGGACTTTCTTGCGCAAGAAATTCATGTTGCCTGTCTACACTGGCCTCTTGTGCAAGAACAGTTGCGCAAGTGGGCTTATTCCTCAGCGAGAACCTTATAGTTCTTGCGCAAGAAGCACTGATTTCACACATTAGAACATCAGTGTTCTTGCGCAAGAACTCCCTGCCAGTGTAGACAGGCAGCATTTTTTTGTGCAAAAGTGACTGCTTGTGCGCAAAATCATGCCAATGTAGACACAGCCTGCATGTTGCATTTATAATCAACAAATTGTAACAGAGTTTAATACAGTCATTTGAAAAAACTTTTCGAATCAGGGTACATCTAGACTGCAGAATTTTTTCTGGAACGGAAAATTTTGGAAAAGCAGGCGCACATTTTTGGCATCCCTGTAAACTTTGTTCTATGAGGAAGAAGGAATGTTCTGAAAGAGGCTTCCCCCCCTCCCCCGACATTTGACCCAGTGTAGATGGGCCAATTGTCGAAAAAACCTCTTTCGGAAGAAAAGCAGAAAAGTTCTTTTTCCAATAGAACTTTGTAGTCTAGAGACAGCCTCACACTATACTTTCCATTCCTTTTAGATCCACAGGTCACATCCCTAAATAGAATGATTTCATGTGGATAAAATCAACTGGAATTGTGCTGGAAAGAACACATCATCAATCACAGCTTCTGGACTCAAATTGAGAAATATCAACAATTTACATCTCTCTTATTAAGTCCTTCCTCCTCCTTTTGAGCTGCAGTTCAGTTCTCTTCTGGTCACACAGATTAATAATTTAAAATGACCATATTCTATAATGTGGGACAACTCTATCTGTAGGATTAGTTGCCAGCACTAAACATTTACTACGTCCCATTTCAAATTTAGTACTTGAATAAGGATTTGTTAAATACAAGTCATGCATGTTCATAAAGACACAAAAAATCCTTATAGCTGTGTCTAGACCATCTCTCTTTCAACAGAGGGATGTAAATTAGACACTTCAAAATTGCAAATGAAGCAGAGATTTAAATATCCTGTGCTTCATTTGCATAATCGCATCATTGCGTTCTTTTGAAATGGCACTTTTTTAAAAGAACGCCATGATGTGATTATGCAAATGAAGTGTGGGATATTTAAATCCCCGCTTCATTTGCAATTTTGAAATGTCTAATTTACATTCCTCTGTTGAAAGAGGGATGTAGTCTAGACACAGCCTATGGCTATTTCTACACTGGCGGGTTGTTGCGCCAGAAGTATGCAAATGAGACTAAGCATGGAATATTGCTGAGCCTCATTTGCATACCTAATGAGCTGCCATTTTTGCGGAAGAGGCTCTTGCGCTAGAAGGAGCTCTTGCGCTAGAAGGAGCTGTCTATATTGCCCCTTCTTGCGCAAGAAAAACCCTCTTGCACAATGCCGC